GTTGGCGGGAGGGAGAAAATAGGTAACATGAAGAGATGAGAATGAGTGTCATCAACCAGGGAAAGCAGGCGAAGGTGCCGTGGAGATTGAATGTCACAATAAACTTTGAATCAGTGAAAAAAATGGAGACTAAACTTATTTCTTTTTTCCATTTATTTTGCAAACAACGTTTTGACTGCTTATTATAGGGACTACGGGGATCAATACAATCAACGTTTATGTGTGATTTATTTGATTTTGATGAGCTTTCAACTGCAAATTTACACCATCAACCAATTCAAAAAACAGGGGTCTCTTGTGGGAAATTAAAGTAGCCACCAAGGGTGACAAGTGCTAGATAAGAGAATACCTTACTGTGGCTCTATAGCTGTCATCATCTGGCATCAAAAGTTACCATATTTGGATGTGAGTTCTCAGATTAAAGGGATATTCCATCATAAAATCAATTTAGGGTCAAACACACGGTAACAGAGTAAGATGACTGTTGTGGACCGCTTGCCTCTCTAGTTTTACGAACTTTAGTAACGACTGCAGGAAAGCAATACACAGCAGTCTGAGGAGCCATAAACAAAGCTCAACCAAAAAGCCACTCTATAGCCACAAATAATGCTCAGAACAGCACCTAACTTCATCAACAGTACATATAGGGTCCTAGCCGCAGCACTAGCCACCAAACATCTTTTTAGCTTTGCCTGATTTCTTGAGCAAAGAGACTAAACACAACTCACCTACTCTCTTCCAGCAGCCGCTTGTTTGTAGCGAGACCTCAGGCTAGTCCATTACGGACCTCAGCGGGGTGACGCAGCTCAAGGAAGAACATTTATGATCATTTTTTTAATCATTTCCTTCAAGTAATAATCACCACATTAATCATTTTGCACTGCAGACGCAGTAGTTCTTCTGCCTTAGTGTCTCGATCTGATTGCATTTCCAAAAAGAAATGATCATAAATGTTCTTCCTTGAGGCAACATTCACCTCTCGAGGGGGTGTCTAACTTGGTGTTTCGGTGTGTTTGACCCTAAATTAATTTTACACCAGAATATCCCTTTAAGAAAAGACACAAATGCTTAACTGTTAGCCAAGGCTTGTATGTTTACGGTCCATGCCAGTTAATATATCATTTGGGAGGCTTATAACAAAGAAGAGACAGTGAACCAAACAGACTTACTACAAAGACAGACAAAACAAACAAAAAACAAAAAAATTGGCTGTCATGTTAAAGCCTCTCTCTCACACACAAACACGGACACATTGCAACAGTGCTGTTGAAGTGAACCTGACAGGACTCCCACTGAGGACGGGGTCACACCAGAACCCAGTGATCAGGATTCTCACTGGGGTGCTCTGGGCTTCTTCCCAGGCACCAGGTCCAGGGGCATCTCTCTAGCAAAGTGCCTCTGGGGAGAAGTCACACTTTTAAAAGACGGAAATTAAGTGGAAAAATGTCTGCTCACTCACTGATGTAATTATCTGTCCTGGATTAACATCTGTTCGCCAGCTCGAGTGCCAAGTCCACTTCAGCATGTGCCAGTGCCTCGTGGCAGCGCCGGGTGTATGTGTACCTGTGTCTATTTCCAAACGCTGTGTATCTTGGCACCAGCTGCGGCAACTTTTCACTCTGACATCCTCCACCCATTCAACATCTGCGTATTTATGTGAACATCTTGGCTGCGGTCATTGAAATAACCAACGTTGTGACACCACCTAATCAGTTTTTCCAGTTTAACCACGACTCCGTGGCTCAGCCTGTCTGAAATTTATCTTGAATGACTCAAGCTTTACAAAGTAGGAAAAGAATTTCACAAAGAAAGATGCAATAAGTCTTGATGACTACTTAAGTTTATATGACTTCAAAATATTACCATATGTTTTTCAGCAGTCAGCTATATTTACTGCTGTGATATTTTCTGCCTACTCTCCTTTTATTATAAAATTAATCCAAGCAGGGACAAGTCCTCGCAGATTATCCCCTCCTGTTGGTGGGAAGCCTCTAGAAAGCTCATTAGCATGCTTCATTTATCTATATCATGTGTGTCATAGTGAGTGTCAGGGTGGGCGTTCACTTGGTGGCTTATTCCCACCTTAACAACTCTGTTGAAAGGAAGCTCAGGTGGCCTGTGTGTGCTGGAGAACCTGCTTGATATTCAGCCTGCAAACCTGGGCTAATCCATTATGCATTGGCATTGTTATACTCCTTTTTACTTCCCCCCCTCTCTTATTAGAGGGACCAACTTTCCCTGGTGTGGCTATATGTGTGAGCTAAATGAAGGATTCCATTTGAGTTGTGGTTATTGACACGCAATAACCAAAGGATTACACCTGTCTTACACTGGAAATGTCATCCAATATCAGCGGATGGAATGTATTTGGATGACCCAAGGGTATTCACAGTGACTATTCCCAAGAATGTTAAGCCCACTGGGAGCAAATTATAATTGAAGGATAGCATGGAGAAGAGAATTTGCATCCCATCTTGTTAACTAGGCCCTAATTATCTTTACTCTTTAGTTACTGGAGCAGAGGGGATAGAGCCCTGTGTCCTCTCCATTAGATCAAATGTCTGGGGAGTTTTTTAGCTATAGGTTAATGAACTGCAGAATATCAGGCCGAATGCAATCACAGCTCAGCCAATAATACCAAGGATATGATGCTTCTGAGCTGACTGAGAGCAGACTATCCCCATTCAGGCTGAGGAGAGTCTGCTCTCAGGGGACCAACCCCCCTGTAGTTCCGGAGATGTATAATTGGCAACAATGCCATGGTGGTTTTCTCCTACTAAATGCCCAATATTTCAAATCTTCTGCCCGTATTGCCACACAAATGGCTTTGGCTAGGGGGATATCATCAAGTACTCTCATTACAATGCATGCCACGGTTTACAGAGCTCAGTTAGTATAAGATTTGCGTAGCCTGTGGCTTGTCAAATGATTCTATAATTGATTGGATTAATACTGATCAGTGCTAACATAGAGCACAGGGTGGACTGATGTCAGTGTAGAGCAGATAATTGGATATAGTGAGCTCGTGTGAATGCATTATCAGTGATTAAACGGTCTCAATAACTCTATTTAAGTAATTGGACAGCCACACACGCTTATGTTGGAACGGAAATAGCCACTTATTTGATTTTCTGGAAATGGGTGATTATACAGTATGATATGTTACTGATCTAAATAATTCTATGTTAGATATACTACACTGTAAATGATCTCTGGATGAAACCACTGCTTATGAAACAGAAGAAATTGCCCGCTACCAAAGAGTAATGACTTCATATTGTTCGAGTGAATAAACGTGCACATCCCTCATCTCGACGCTGACTCTGTCTAAGAGTCAACCCAGAGTCCTATTTAAATACTGAAACTGAATTTATCTAACAACACAATAAAACTAAAACAAAATGCTTAACAGTGTCATAATGAACACTGCCCCAAGGCACAAAACAGTTGAATTGGGAATGTTAAACTGAAATATGGCAAGGAATTATTGTTCCTCAAGAGAAGTAAACAAGACCATCAGCATTAAGACCAAAAATGTCAGAGACCTCTGTAAGGGATTGGTGTGTTGGCAGTGGCTGACAGTTGACTTGCCTAGCTGCCTTCTTTTCCATAGCAACAATCACTGACATGTTAACAGTAGGACTGTTAAAAGGGGAAAAGGCAGTTTTATTTCTTAATTTTTTGTTGTTTTTGTTCAAACAGGACCCCAAAATCAAAAGAAAGCAGGAATTCCTCACAGGAGCTTTAAACGCATTACATTAAAGTGTTTTTGAAAATGTAAGGAATAAAGCATGGATTTTTTTTTTCTGTTGAATAAAGATATCAGTCTATAAAGTAGTTAAATAAAGTAGAGATAACTCACCATTCTAACATCAGTGGGCTCTCGGGGGTCTTAGTGCATTCAATGTAAGAAATAACCCTCTTCTACCAATCTCCTAACCGTGAGAAGTGAGAAGGTGTGCCATATGGCCACTGCTCAATTTATAGCCCTTATACGGATTTAGTAGCAAAACTGAGATCAGCAGCTATGCTATGAAGAGCTGAGTCCACTGAAGTAAGCTGATTGTCCACCCTTAGCCAGTGTTCTCACAGCATATGGACTTTATCTCTTGCAGCATGACCGTACTCAGCTCTTCAGCTTGGAGTGAAAGGACTGAGATGGCTGGCTGCTGCTTATGGGCCTCCCGCTGGTTCCTCTTTGCTGGCAGACTAAAGCCTTGGGCATGGGAAGCCTTGTTGTTCTATGGGCTCACACTCTCCTAGCAACATGAGGCAGTGTGTGTGGGAGGTATAGTGGCATAGTTGATGGTAGTTTGCAGACCATCACCTTGGTTGGTCAATCAGGAAGGGCCAGCTTTGTGCTTTCTCACAGGGATATCAAATCTTTTCTTTCAATTGGTCAGAAGCTCTGATTTTGGGATCCTTTCTATAAGTCTGCTAGAGGCTGAAAAGACGGACCAGAAACACATGCTACCTTTTATCCAAAGATATATCAGTGGTCACCAAGTTAGTGGAGTAACTTGCACTTAAAATTCTTCCTATAAAGTTTGTATTACCAATTTCTGAGTTTTTTCATGAAAGTAATTCCACAAGTCTACTATTTTGGCTCCTGTAATTTAAAATTTGCATCAATCTGAAGTATCACATCGTTTCCAGCTGTGTTCACTGACCTACACTTGTCCCATGTAAAACAGTCTATTTGTCAAACAGGACATCACAGCTCAGATTTTAACTTTTAGCATCCCAGCGACCAAGTTTGCCGTACTTGTTTAAACACAACGGGATGCAGTGGTCAAATATACAAGTGATAAAAAAATAACGCGTCCCTTCTTTTAGTGATCAATAAATCCTAACCAAGTCATTATACAGTGTTCATAAAATCACAGATGCCTTGGAGTTCTGTGGCGGCACCATTCATTAGTGATTCTGACAAAGGGTCTGTGTAATTTGCCGTGTGGCAGCAGGTCCAGCGCTTCTGTTGTTCTCATTCATTTTGTTCATCAGACTGGATCTCTGTGGATTTCATGCCATCTTATGGCCATCTCCTCTCCAGCTGGTCCACAGGTGGCTAAGTACACTTTGCTCTTATTTGTCTGGCCTGCCGCTTCAATATTAGCCTTCTCTCCATCCGCGGAACGGCCCCTGATATTGTTATGAGAGTGGAGCATGGAATCAAGAAGTGCAAAAAGGCATTTGGCTGGCATTTCCCCACCTTGGCTAAATCCAGCTCCTGGTGCCCGGGCCAGGCTGTTTGGTTTCTGTTTGAGCATTGATGATGACACTGTTCCAGGTCTCCACCTGTGTCCTCCTCCTCTGATCAGTGTGGTGGCCATGCTGGGAGGGGATAAGCAGCAGCAGGATGCTCTCATCTTTCCTGAGGCTTTCCGCGCTGATAAGCATAGGGAGATTATCGGGATTGTAAGGTGTTTGAATCTCAATCTTTTATGCTTGACCTATGATCGATGTACATATGTCTGTTTGACTCTTGTTTTTTCCACAATTCCCTTTGGAGATAACCTTATTTTTTGTAACATAAAACATGTTTTGTTGTAATTGTAAAGAAAAGAAATAAGACTGCTCAAGCTTTTGTTTAGAGTTGTTTGTTAAAATAGCATTCTCAATTTTCTAACTGTACTATTATTCTTTTTTGTACTATTGAATGTCATATATTCTCTTTTAATATAAAGCATGATATTTTAATTTAAATATATATGTTTTCATCCTTCAAAACTTACAATACATCAAACCATGTGGGAAAAAAATTAACTCCCCACAAAACAAACAGCACTTTGTCTATGTCTGGTCATTTTCCACAGCAGAAACGTACAAAATTGATGAGTTGTGCGTATGGCTTTTGTTTCCTCATTGAAATAAGTTGAAGGAGTTCAGCAGCAGCTTAAGACTGATACTTTTTACTCTCTCTGGAGGAGTCGCCACTTTTCACACATAGCCCTCAGTCCAACACAACTTAATATAAATACATATTACAAGGTGAAAAATCATTTACATTGTGGAATTACTGGCATGAACACAACAACACTATTCTCAGGCACAGGTCATTATGGGCAGATTTTCTGTCATGGTTACTTGTATCATCTCTTCTTCTCCTCCCGTTTCCTCTTCCCAGGCCTCAGTCTCACACACACTTAGCCTCAGATGCTCCCTCCCAGCTCTCTGCCTGTCCACACATGATAAGGAGTCTCAGCTTTACTCACCAATGCGGTTGGATGCTGGGAGCTCGAATCTACAGCCGTATGTCACATCACATAATTCCAATAATCTATAAAACCGAATGGTTGAATTTATACCAAAATCGCTGCATGCAGTTATTAAAAACAAACCAGCATACCACTGGAAAATGTCTGCCTCAAGAGTATAGTGAGCAAATTTGACTGGATATGATTTGGAAGGATGGAAATCAGGCTGACATGTTTTGATCTTTGTGCACAGTGGCAAACGTAATGTTATTTTTTTGGTGCAATGATCATTTGTTTTCTGTCTGAGCTCTGATATTCAGAGCATTAGTTGTCTGCGAATAAAGGGAAAAAGAAGAACAAACTCCCAACATGAAGGAAGAAACAGAAACTATTTAAGAAAAACACTTGAACTTGTAGTTTTCTACCCTTCAAAGTCATGCATCTGTGGTGCACTATTTCTTACACGAAAATATAGCCATCTTACTTGCACAGCTAGCTAAGTGCAGTCATCTATGAAAATCAAACATGCTGCTTTTTTAAAGCCTCCAATCAGCAAATGATGGTGCAGCAATAAGTAAAATGCACGACAAACATCTCCTTAGTTACATGGCATGAGCACAGCCAGTCAAGCAGCATTTACTTGTGGAATACAGGACCAGTCTGTTGGTCTGACTGTCTGTCTAAATAAAATGCAACCAGGGTTATTACCGGTGCGTAATCAAGTTCAGCGAAGTTAAAAAGGAGCTGTTTACTGGATCAAAATGAAGAACGCAAAGAAGCGAGAAGTCAGAGTTGAATAGGATGTATGTGGTTTGATAAGAGGATGCAGAAAAAGAGGGAGTCAAGGCATGCTCTTGGGGAGTGGAGGGACTCTGCTGTACCTGGTCCAAATAATGTGGAAGGCCAGCTGGGGCTTTTGGCAGACATATTTAGGACCTAGTGGCAGACCCTGAGCCCCCAGACTAATCCTGTTGCAGGTGATTATGTGGAGAGAATCTGAGAAATAGGAGGAGGACTACACCCCCTGCACCTTGCCCCTATACTTCCTGTTTACTGCTGTGGAGACTATATGAAGGACCACATATGTTTATGAATGTGAGGAGCCAGAAATGAATTAAAAACATTTAATTAACAGACTTGGTGTATGAGATTTTGTCGTTTTGTCTCAGGGCTTCATAAGAACTGAATAATGTGTGCTGATAATTTTTCACTGTCAATGTCAAATGTCAAAGCACAAACATGATGTTATTTCTTCACTCATGGCCAAACTAAAATGTTAAAAATTGGATCAGGCTTTTTAAAAAAGATACTGCACCAACCATTTATCATTTAACTTCTCAACCTTGGAGATTTAACAATCTTGAAACATTAGATAGATGTGCTTGTAAATCTGCTTTTAGGCAATCACAAATGTAAACCATCATTTGCAGTGTCAATACATGTCTGTAAGAGAGTTTTTGTGATTTGTTAAGAAAAGGCCGACGCACTTTGGGTCTAAACACTCAAAATAAATCTATATCAAACTGTTCAGAGTCCTCAAGGTATAATTTTGACAATAAGATGTGGGTGTGTGGATACACAGAGAAATACATGGTCAATACAAGCTCTTCTTTGTCTAGTCTAGCTTCTCCCCTCTTAAATCACACTGACCCAACAATGATGCAGACTAAGGATGTCCTTAGGAGACTAATTTTCTCGCTCTTAAAATGGAAAAGTGCGTTCAAACTCACTAGCTAGTCAAAAGGCAAGAAAAAGGTTAAAAAAGAGCAGCAATCGAGCACAATTTATTTAAAATACTATCTACCAGATCACAGCGTCTGCAGGGTGCAAAGGTTTGCAGAGTGTGGCTAATATTAGCAGAGCTAGCACCCCCCTGGCCTGTGATCCCCCTTGCAGGTTAACATCCACATGACAGTGCTGGTTACACATTGCTCCGGTTAAGTGGGTACCAGACACAGCCTGAACTCTCTATTTTGTGGATTAAGATGCTGACAAACCAAGCTTCACAACATTACGCAATCTATGCTTGTTTACAAATAGGTAGTTGAGCTTTACAGCTTTAGGGCATTATGGCAGTAGCTATTACCCATAAGCCCTGACTTGAAGTGGGTGGCTGGGATATAACCTAGACAACATGCGATGGACACTTTGGGTAAAATAAGATCTTCTTTCTCAGAAGAAGTGCAAAGCTCTTCCTATATAGAGTTAGTTATGTTATAATGTGACTCTACAGCCCCTTGCCAACAAAGCTGTCACTAAGATGTCATTTCCCAGGAAGTTTGGGCTCCATAGCAATTATGAGTAATTAACAGAATCTATGGAATTAGCCGTACAGTCTTTTTTGCGTGGGCTGCAGTGCTTTTCAACAAAATCAAGGCACACAGTTTAAGCCCCAGGGGGCCCTAAAATTACTCCTTTTCAGGATGCCTAAAGATATTCAAAAGGCACAAGACAAAATGGTCTTTTTTTTTCATGCTCCTATTCTCTTTCTCTCGGCTGCTCGATGAGTGGCAGGTACAGCCTGTGACAAACAGGGCTTGCAACATGCTCTAAATCTGTCAGGGCTGATTGCACTGGCCTCATTTGACTAACAGCTACATTGAGAGGAAAAAAAAAAGCAGTCAGACACCATGCCCAGTTGATGATGAGATTATGAGCCAAAATGTGTGATTAAATCTACTTGGCCTCCCACAGCCATATGGGTTTTCACTGGACTGTATAGTAACCTTCTATAGGTCCTAATCCTATGTTGGATTATGTTCAGTTTACAGGCAGTGCGGCACAGATCTGTGATGATTGTATTTAAGCTGCAAATATGATGGATTCATCATCATTATCGATTTATGTTACGTCTGCTAAAGCTTGTGTGTCTTTTCTGACAGCTGAACAGAATGATTATCTAAGATGGATTGTATTTCACTGATAATAAAAGTTTTTTTTCTTCTTTTTTTAATCTACCAGCAGCTATATGTCAAATCTTATCTGATCTTTTTTTCCTTTTGTTGCAGAGAGTTCATGTTCCTTTCTTTCAAATACCTCCAAAGTCTGCGTCATTTCATTTTAACAACCTTTCAGTAAATAAAGCTTGCTCAACATCCAGTAATAGAACTCAACTGTTGCTACTGAATTAGATCCAGGCTGCATCAGGACTCCTCCCTGGGATTGTTTCTCAACTCAAATTGGTTGCACATGATCATAAATTCATTTACTGGAGAATCCCTAAAAACACTCCTCGTTCGAGTAAGTTCTGCTGCTCAATTTGATTTTCAGAACCATTACAGAGAGGATTTTGGCAGTTTTGTCCCTCTTTCTTAATATTCCTTATTTTTTAAATTACATGGTGCTACTTTGAAACTATCCAGTAAATAACCATGCAAACACTTAATCCAATCTTTTCTTCCTGGTTGGGGTAAAAATTGTTCTTACTGGAAATGCCTATGAAGGGATGGGTTTCCTCACATCAGAACAGATGGAGACATATCTATTAAGCTTACAAGAGCAAACAAGACTATCAGCAACAAATGCACTATTTATTTACAGCAATTAGAGATTTTAGAAACCTCTTTGAGGGTCTGGTGTCAGTCTGAGGGCCTACCTGTAGTCTTCTTGATGATACAGAAAGTTTAACTTCAACAAATTATCCTTGAGTTAATTTGCAAAAAACGTGACACTGATCAAAATTTTTATCCTTAAAAATGATCCATGATCCACTATGTCTAAAGGGATGTCCTGATATGATACTGATATTGGATATCGGTCTGATAGCAGCAAAAAAAAAAAAAATATATCGGTTTATATCCGCCTGCATCTAAAATTTCTGATATCAGCACTCCGATACAAGCAGTCCATTCCAGATTCCGCTCCAGCTTCCCTATCGAGCCGTGCCTGGATCCAGAGCCCATGTAATCACAACAACAACATGTACTAAGGTACTAAACAAGTAGCAAGAAGTAGGAGTGATGTCGGCCATGTGGCAGTTTTGTCTGTTTAAGTCCGATAATAAGACATTGCAGCTGGGTATATCAGTATCGGCCAATACTGAAGGCTACAATATCGGTATCATTTTGGAAGTAAAAAAGTTGTATCGGGACATCCCTATATTTCTATACATCAAATCCACAGGGTGACAATAATAG